TGCACAAAAATATGCAGAAGTGTAGTATGAGTACACCACATTCGGTACCCAGTAAGTATCAAGACTAATCTCGGTGGAGTAATGACGAGATACAGTCAAGACACTCACTAGTCAAATAACTTGTGCAATATAACATACAAAAATAATAGAAAGACAAATAGCAGCGATAACAACAATAATCAACTAGTGATATAAACAGCAAGGCAACAAGAACACCATAAATATTGCTCAAGAAAATAATGAACACAAGTACAACCAATTAATCAAGTCCTTCAAAATATACATCTTTCAAATGTAAGTCCTTCAAATATAAATCTTTCACATATAAGCTCTTCAAATAAAAACCTTTCGAATATAATTCTTTCAAATAAAAGTCACTCCGTGACACCTCATTTCAAATCATAAAATACGGGTCTCAACCCACTTTCATATTTTTACGGTACCTTATGTCCATATCTCTATTACAACCGCACGGACAACTCACGTACCAAAATATTAATGTATATAAGATCTGCAGGATCAATTTATTTTCAATAAAGTAAGTTTACAATTTTTAAACCAAATAAGAAATCAACAAAGAAATGAGTTTATTTTCAAACTCATTTGGGTGAAGAGAATGACATTTCAAATAAAATGAAGCTTCGGATAGCTACCGATTTGGATTCAAAATTTATTAAATTAAAACATAATAGCAATTTCTTTTATTCAAAATAACTCAAACCTCGAAAACCAGTAAAAACCAGAAACACAAATCCTCAGAGTCTCGTACGAAGGGCCAAAGACAACACAATACAACAAGGAATACAAAACACATAATAAATTCAAATAATACATCACGGAAGAACACAATAATTTACATATCACGAAAAAATAAAATAACCAAAGGCAAGTGCAACCATAGAGAAATATTATCAAAGGGCACTCCCAAGGTACCGCCTCGTAGTCCCAAATCATAAATAAATTTCACCAAAAGGCACTCCCGAGATACCACCTCGGAGTCCCAAATCATAAATAAATTTCAATCTTTCCTTATATCATCGGAGGAGCCTTCACATTTAGTTTTTAAAAATTATTTTTTTCGAAATAGTATCCTACGTTTTAGCCCACCTTATCACACCGCATGATTTCTAGTAGTTCCCCTACTAGCCACGCGTATCAAGCCCACCTTAACTCACCGCATGCGTTTCAATACCCTAACCTTATATCACCGCATGCATATCAATATCACAATATTTCGCACATCGCACCTCAAGTGCCCAAATATCACAACATAACACAACTTGCACCTAAGTGCTCAAATATCACAACATATTATAAATTGCACCTCAAGTGCTCAATTATCACAACATCTCATAAATTACACCTCAAGTGCTCAAATATTATAACTTGCCACAGAAATCAACGATACATTATTTTCCACAATAAGGAGCCCATGACTCGACCATAATGTGCACAAAATCTTAACAAAAAAAATACGGGAGTGAACAACCCAACAGAATAATATTTCACAATTTAATACTTTACCTCAATATGATTTACGACCTTTATAACTCAATACCAATTTCAACAACATGAACTAGAAAGTAATTCATCAAGGAACAACGCCTTCTTTAATCCAAATTTTTGGCAAATAGATTAATGTCTCCTTTTAAACTTATTTAATAAATTATTTACAGATAGAAAATCCATAATGTAATTATTTTCGGGAAATGTCAATTCAACAAGCACACGAAATTCACATAAAAATCAAAGTAGCAATCACACCAAATTATCATATAAAACAAATTCGACAACCAAAGAGTGAGGCATGACAAATAAGGATTAATAAGTGCCAGCAAATTTCCAATGTAATACATAAAAATGCCTAAGACTTTAAACCAATAAAATTTGCACATATAAGTCTGAGTACATACTTGTCACCTCGCGTACACGACTTTCACATTACACAAATGACACATATGACTCAACGCCTAAGGGGTAATTTTTTCACTCAAAGTTAGGCAAGATACTTATCTTTTTGAAGTTAGTCGATATTCCAAAATAACCTTCTTGCTTGAATTGACCTCCAGGCAACTCAAATCTATCCAAATTAATTGTATAACTTCATTAAAATTTATCGAAAATAATTCCGGATAATATAACGTCAACTTAAAATTTCGTATTAAACGGTCAACTGAAAGTCAACGCGGGACTCACCTCTTAGAACCCGACAAAATATTTACGAAATCCGAATATCCATTCTGATACGAGTCCAACTATATTAGTTTCATTCAAATCCGACTCTGAATCGACATTCAAATCCAAAAACTTTGTTTTTATGAAATTTTTATAATTTCTCCCAAATTTTTATCTCAAAATACTAATTAAATAATAAAAACAATAATGAATTCATGTAATATAGCCAAAACCGAGTTAGAATCACTTACCCCGATGATTTTCTTGAAAAACCTACGAAAAATCGCCACAAACCAAGCTCTCTAGGTCCAAGATTGAAAAATGAGATAAAAACCTCATTTATATGGTACCACGTCTAACCTCCAAAGTGCTGACCGCACATTTTTGTGTGGTCCGCACATCCCATGTTCTGCGGCCGCAACCCAAATTGTGCGGTCGCAGTTCAGCAATATCTACACTATCGGTATTTAGTAAATTAATCATAACTTTCTATACAAATGTCCAAATAATAAATGGTTTAACTTTCTGAAAACTAGACTCAAAGGGATACACTTTTATTTTTGTATCATCTCCATATTCCTTATAGATCAAAAGATATAAGTTTCCGAAATCAGACTGTCGAACCTGCAAATTCTCCTTTCTGCGGCCACAAGAGGATTTCTACGGCCGCAAGAGGATTTTTGCGGTCCACAATTTTCCTCTAAGGTCCGCACATAATGTTTTGCCTCAGCACTCCAAAATGCTCCCTCCGCACTTCAACTGTTCTAGAACAGCATCAAAGTACCGAAATGCCCAAACTCGTTCAAAACTCACCCCAAAATACACCCGAGGCCCCCGAGACCTCAACTCAACATACCAACAAGTCTTAAAATATAACGCGGACCTGCTCGAGTCCTCAAACCACATCAAGCAACGTCAAAACTACTAATCGCACCACAAATCGAACTCATGAATTTCTAAATCTTCCAACTTCCAAAACTCGTGCCGAAACATGTCAAATTAACCTGGAATGACGTCAAATTTTGCATGCAAGTTTCAAATGACATAACAGAGCTAATCCAAATCTTGAAATTACATTCCGACCCCGATATCACCCAAGTAAAACTCCCGGTCAAACTTCCAAACCTTCCATTTTCAACTTTCGCCATTTCAAACCAAAATTAACTACGGACTTCCAAATAAATATCCGGACACACTCCTAAGTCCAAAATCACCATACGGAGCTATTGAATTCATCAAAATTCTATTTCGGAGTCGTTTGCTCAAAAGTCAACTCTTCGGTCAACTCTTTTCTTTTAAGCTTATTAATTAAGAATTGCTCTTCCAATTTGATTCCGAATCGTTCGAAAACCAAACTCGATCACACACGCAAGTCATAATACACATCACAAAGCTGCTCGGGACCTTAAGTCGTTGAACGAGACGCTAATTCACCAAACGACAAGTGAGGGGGATTTTTATTCAAAGGGTGGTTGCCCCTCTCTGTTTAGCCAATGATTTTCTTTTTCCACTTTTAAAACAAATTCAACAGCCCTTGAATTCCTGAAAATATGTACTACTACTATATAGTCATTTCTTTAGCATCAATCAACAATAACAGCCAAATCTATCTTTCTCTGTCTCTGTTTCTATGATTTTAGTTCCTCTTTTCTGGTACATAACAATTGAGACAGTGATGATATTTTATCCGAATTCTGGGCTAACTGGATCAGGCATAGAGACTATCCGACCTGTATCTTGGCCTGGCAAATCACCGGACGACCGACGATTCAAAGGTTTTTACTTTGCATGCAATCAGTGATTTTGCAGCCTTGGCGTGGTCGCCTCTCTTTTTCCGCGATCTGTCTTTGCAGATCTGAGCCTCTTAGTTAAGTACTTTTGGGCTAGCCACTAGAATTACTTTTGGGCTATTGTATATTGTAATTTTGGGCTATCGGGTGTTAAAAGTTTGGCCCGAGTGACTATAAATGAATTTTTCTCAAATTGTTTGTCGAACAAGTCTTATTTCACAAAAGATTTGATAGTATTTTTAGAATGTACTATTGGTTAAAATTGTCATTTAATTATTTTTTTTAATATTTTAGATCTTGACATTAATCAAAATTTTAGCTATTAATCGCTCTCGCCATTTGAATTATGCAAAAATATTTAATATTTAAAAATTTAAAATTGAGTAAAATTTTACTTATTTAAATATTTTGCTTGTCGTCATAATTTTTAATATTATTTCTATAATGCCTACGAGTACAAATAGATCTTATACAACATACATAATTATTAATTTAACATATATCTCCATAATAAAGTTTGTAGAATTTAAAAATGTATTATTGGTAGTGATGAGTGCATGAACTTGGTAAGTAAAAAGGAAGTATGATACTTTAATTGGTAAAATTGAAGTGATGAAATTATAAAATTAAAAAAAAAATTAAGTTGGATAATAACTAATGCTTGAGAAGTTCTATTTTGCCCTTTTGTTTTTTGTGAGTTAGTTGTCTGAATTAATACTCACCATTTTCAGAATTTTTATTTTTGTTTTATAGTTTAAACAAAACTTTTAATATAATATTTATGTATATTTTTTATAAGTATACTTATCGAGAAAAGATACACGCGCGTTCTAAGACTAGTATAGTCAAATAACGAAAAAAACATAACACTTCACTCATTCTTATGGTTTTTCACCTTTTTTTCTAGTAAAAGATTAGCTTACGAGTTTAGTATGTGTAACTAACTCTTCTATTTTCCTCTAAGGTAAATGATTAATAATTAATTCAACGCATAAATTCTTTTTTTTTTTGAGTGTGTGAAGATAACTCGTGACCAATAGAGTAAACTTAGGAAGTCAAAATGCGGGCACTTCATTCATCGTTGATAAAGCCACTCCTCCATCTTCACCTCCCATTCCCATTTTCTATTCCCATTTTTTCGCTCTCTCCACTTCGAACAAAGTATCTCCACTTCCACTTCTCCACTACTCCTTCAGAACTAAGCGCCATGGCCGCCAACAAGACGGCCACCGTCGACGGCAAATCCACGCCGGACCACGTCGCTGGCGGTTGGTACTCCGTTCCCGACCTACGGTTACGCGATCACCGATTCATCGTTCCTCTCGACTACTCTCTTGATGACTCTTCCTCTCCTAAAATCACAGTCTTCGCTCGGGAAGTCGTTACTGGTATTACTCTTATTCGGTTCCCAATGTTCATCATCATGGATTTTGCATTTGTTTACTACTTTACTCTGTCTAAGTAGAACGATTGCTTGTAAAAATATTCTATTTCTGAATAAATAGTGAGAAACTTCATATTGTGGATCTCAACTTATTTTGGATTGAGGTGTAGTTGTTTGATTGAAGGATTCACATTTGTTCGGTTAACTTATGTATTGGCGTGCTTATGTGTTGATTCTATTTGATTCTTATTTTAGGCAGTGTTTGGTCTTGGCTTAGCTTATAAAGAACTACAAAAGTAATATTTAGAAGTAAAAGCTCTAAATTTCAGCTTAACTGATATGTAAGGTACTAGAAGAAGTTTTCCAAATACTGCTTAAGCTATTAGCTTCAAAATACTTGTCTTACATTTGTTCTGTTAAGTTAATAAGTTATGTACTTTAGCACGCTTATATATTGATTCCATGATTAGCCGACTGTTATTTTCTTTTAAGAACAGTTTTTGGTTAATTTATTTTCTCTACTGATTATCAAGTACATTGCAGTTGGTAAGGAGGAACAACCTCTGCCATATCTACTATATTTGCAAGGTGGACCGGGCTTTGAATGCCCAAGACCAACTGAAGCTGGAGGATGGATAAGCAGAGCATGTGAGGAGTACCGTGTAGTTTTAATGGATCAGGTACTCTCTCTCTCTCTTTTTCTGTCTCTCAACCATAGTGACATAGGCAGTTCTCTGTATTCCTTCTGCTGATGCTTTCGCTGCAGAGAGGAACAGGTTTATCAACACCGTTAACACCATCGTCTATGTCACAAGTGAAGTCTGCTGAGGATTTAGTTAACTACTTGAGACATTTCCGAGCTGATAATATAGTACATGATGCCGAGTTCATCCGAAAACGTCTTGTCCCTGGTGCTGGACCTTGGACAATACTTGGACAGGTTCGATAGCTTTGAAGCTTTTCAGTATTTGGTTTTTCTATCTTAATGTCATCGTGTATTCTCTCAATAAGTTGTTAAAAAAGACTAGAGGATTTAGTTAACTACTTGAGACATTTCCGAGCTGATAATATAGTACATGATGCCGAGTTCATCCGAAAACGTCTTGTCCCTGGTGCTGGACCTTGGACAATACTTGGACAGGTTCGATAGCTTTGAAGCTTTTCAGTATTTGGTTTTTCTATCTTAATGTCATCGTGTATTCTCTCAATAAGTTGTTAAAAAAGACTAGAGGATTTAGTTAACTACTTGAGACATTTCCGAGCTGATAATATAGTACATGATGCCGAGTTCATCCGAAAACGTCTTGTCCCTGGTGCTGGACCTTGGACAATACTTGGACAGGTTCGATAGCTTTGAAGCTTTTCAGTATTTGGTTTTTCTATCTTAATGTCATGTAATATGGCCAAATTTTCATGACATTTTTCATGACATAATATCCATTATAACAAATTTGTGGTTCATGACATTTGCCATGACATAA